CCTGTGCAGTTCTCAGATGCATAGCAACTGATCAGAAAGACAACTGCTTGAATCAGATGCAACTTAATCTTCAAACTGACATCATGACTACTCCAAAATTTAGAGAGGTCCCTAAATGCAATTTTCCCAGTGCAATACATCTCCTTATTTCCTGACGGCTGGTACCAAGGATGTTAATTGTGGATCCAAGCAAGATGAAGTTGTTAACAATTTAAATCTCCTCTCCAAGTATCTCAAAATGTAGTATTTGGTCAATATCACATTTTTTAAATTCATCAATCTGTTAAGAAAACCCTTCAATAAATCCAAATGTTAATATAAAAAAGTAATAAGCATTTTATACAAAATTTTCCATAGAAACTTACCAGTGGGCATATCTCAGTTTTATGGAGAACATGGAATTTTAAGGTAAAGCATTGCCTCAGTCAGGGTTCCTAAAGAAGAAGAGTTATAATGTTATAATGTGAAAATTTTAAATAAAAATCACAAAATACTCTTTAAGTAAGACTGTCATTTCTCTACTGTCTCATCACGTTTCTGCCCCATGAAGTTCTGCTCTTATTCTCATCTCAAGCAACTAATTTGAATAAATTTTACTTAGAATACTGAAATAAAGCAGCTTAAAACACCTTTTAACAAAACGCACCTAAAGCTTTATATCGTTGGAAACCCTGTGGGTTTCTACTTTGTTATCTAGAGGTGCTATGAGTCTGACTGATTTGAGGCCAGTGTACTTGATATTTGGAAGAAAAACAAAAAATATTTTTGAAAGACAATTTCAAAGAGAAAATTTAACAACCAATGTCTTAAATTTATTCTAATTTGTCTTTTATCCATGCAACCAAATATTCACTGTAAAGAAATTGCTGACCAAAATTAATCCCACCAGGACTTTAGCTTTCTGCCAAAATTATTAATATTCCTCTTCCTATTTAAAGCTGTTGTTGTGCAGAGTCAAGTCAGAATCAACCTATAGCTGACCCTCTGGCAGGTTTTTCAGAGGCAGTTAATCACAGGGGAGGAGATTGCCCATCCTTCTCCCGTGGAGCTGCTGGTGGCCTTGAACCAGTTGCCTTTAAGATTGCAGGGCAGCTTCTTGCCACTAGGCCCCCAGAACCTGTTTAAAGTTAGACCTATTAAATTTGAATTTCAAAAGGCTTAGCTAAAGGTAGGCAGAAGTGCAGATATTACCTTGTGGTTTGACAGTTATTAATTTCAGTAAGAGAAGGGCAAGATCCAATTACTTTTGTTAGGATTAGCCAGTGGCTGATTTACTATTTTTCTCTGTCCTCTTTATAATAAACTGCATTGTAACTAGGAAACTAGAAAAGCCATTTGCTTTAATTTCTGAAATCAGAATGATCTTCCTCTATGCATACAGACTAACTAGTCAGTGATGATGAAAAATGGCCGATGGCAGCAGTAGAGAAAGGCTGCAGGAATAGTGAGGAAAAAGGGTAATTTTTGCTCTGCTGGCCTAATGGCAAGAACCTGAGCCGCAATTCCTAAGGCACACAGTTCGGATCTACCAGCTGCTCCATGGGAGAAGGACAGGCAATCTCCTCCCATGCGATTAACACGCTGCCACAAACGACAGCAATTGTGTTTCTAAGTTAACTGCCTCTGAAAACGCACCAGAGGGTCAGCTATGAGTCAGTTCCAACATGATGTAAATAACTCAGAAAAGCCTTAAACTTCAATTTCTTCAAGCTTAATTATTTTTAAAGCTGTTGTTGTGTGTCCCTGAGTCAGACCTGACTCGCAGTCCTCCTTCCAGCAAGTTTTCAGGAGGTGTAAATCACATGGGAGAGGGTGTGCATGTTTCTCCCACAGCGGGAGGATCTGAAGTGCCTGCCTTTAGGTTGGCAGCACAACTCCTTACGCAGATGGCTACTAAAGCTCCATATTTTTGACAGCAGTTCACATTTAACAGGGCCTATGAGCGAAATTGTAAATATACCTTTCTGGTAGACTAGTGGTTGAAGAGCTGTCCTGCCCACTCAAAGGCTGATGCTGTTAATTGTTGTTAACTGCCTTCAAGTCCAGTGTGACTCAAAGCGACCCAAAGAACAGTAGATCTGAACCCTGTCCTCTCCTGTGCCATCCTCACCATCTGATACACTTAAGCCCACTGCTGCAGTCACCACGTCAATCCATCTCATTGGGGTCTTCATCTCTTTCTCTGATCCTCCACCTGTCCAAACATGATCTCTCCTTCCAAGGAATAGCCTCTCCAAGCAACATGTCCAAAATCTGAGAGATGTAACTTCACCATCCTTGTCTCAAAGGAGCACTCTGCTGCACCGTAGGTGGCTTCAATCTACCAGGTGTCTCAAGGGAGAAAGCCTCTCATTCAATATACAGCCTCTCAAAACCCACTAGAGAGTCAGCTATGAATTAGACCCACTCAGTGGCAATAGGTTTGAGAGTTTTGAGTTTTAGGGAAATTAATGAACATTTCTATGCATTTAAGAAACCTCCTCAGACCCCGCAGACCCATCCCACCTTCCCAGGTAATCGAAGACGCCAAAAGCTTGTGACATCTTGTTCCGGCAGGAAGCTCAGAGGAGAGGTTAGACATCTGACTAGCTGAAGTTGGGCACCTCAGAAGACAGCCATCAGACCCCGCAGACCCATCCCATCTTCCCACGTAATCAAAGACGCCAAAAGCCTGCAATATCCATTCCGGCAGGAAGCTCAGAGGAGGGGTTAGGCATCTGACTAGCTGAAGTTGAGCACCTCAGAAGACAGCCATCAGACCCCGCAGACCCATCCCATCTTCCCACGTAATCAAAGACGCCAAAAGCCTGCAACATCCATTCCAGCAGGAAGCTCAGAGGAGGGGTTAGGCATCTGACTAGCTGAAGTTGGGCACCTCAGAGGACAGCCTGCAGCCCTCGGGCCAAGTAAAGCCTATCTACACACCAGTTCTACAGGATGCATCACCTTTGATCGGGAAACATTACGACTAAACTTCAGGGACACTGATCCCAACATAAGGAACTACCATCAGCTGATGTGTTTGAAATCAC